TAACTGAGAAACACCAGAGCAGAATGAGGTAAAATTACTGACTCCAAATCTTTTAAAAAGAATATTATGTCTTGGTTCAGTTATGACATGTCGATGAAGTAAATTTAAAAGAATGTTATGTCTTGGTTTCAATTATGCATGTCAATGAAGTAAATTTTAAAAGAATGTTATGTCTTCATTTCAACAAATTGACATGTCAGCGAATTAAATTTATTTTTAGCTCATTTTATTTTGGTAGATTTGTAAGTTCTGGTATATAAAGAAGAATGTTATTATATTACCTGCAACTGTCGACAGTATTGCTGTGCCAAATCTTGAGGGCAATGTGCAGATGTGAAGCCTTTCGATAAAAAATACACTAGAAATTCATCACCAAACTTTTCATACATCACCTTCTGAGCCAACACAATTTCTCCAAACAAAATAAGCTGCAAGGAGATCAAGAATTAAGATGTAAGAATAAAGCCTGACAAGAAAAGGAATTTCTTACCATCTTCTGAATACTTTAGTGTGCATGCCAACATTTCACAATACATTTCTTACAGAAAAATTACCAAAACATGAAAAATAATTTACTGCACTTAAAAGTAATACACTAGTGAATAATCTAGTCAGTTAAAGAAGGTCCCCTTCTTTTTTCCTTGTTTCTTCTTTTGTCTTCTTTCCTTTGGCAGGTTTGCTGGGTGTGGGAACATTAGGCACATCAGTGATTCAACCCATGAACTTGAGATATAATAATTAAGGCTGCAATTCACCAAGTATGACTAAAAACTCTTCAATAATAAGAGGAAAAATTTTGAAAAGACAGATGGTGCGGAGAGCAACAACTGACAATTCAGTTTCCTATCATCTACAGCCTTGCAAGAGGAAAAATCGCGAGTTGACTACTTTGAGGCTAATGGGAGGAATTTTACTTTATAAAATTGCCATTTTATCGCAGTCTAAACAATTGAAGGATAGATGCCATGATAACCTTGGTTACCTTCCTGGAGTCCTGTTTTGTCCAACCCCACCGAGGAGATGAACCATTTTGGAGGATATCCAAGAACAGTGACTTCTCTGTCAAATTTTTTTACTTTTTGCTGCTTATCAAAACTTGATCTTTGAGATTCCACATGGAAGACCATTTTGAGCCAAAAATCTTTCTATACCGAGTTTTTTGCTTGGAAGCTGCTTGGAGCATATATCCTTACCACAGATTATCTGAGAAAGAGAGGTTGTTTCATTACTAACTGCTGTCCTCTATGCCCTGACAACAATGAATCCAGCAACCACCTTTCTGGTTGCAAGGAGAGGGAAGGTCAAGGGATTAAGCAATCAGTTCATTGGGTATAGTGTGTGGTTAGTGGTGCCGCCTCTGCTGAATTAAAAGCCCACAACGGCATTTTGGCAGAGAGTAAGAAGACCATTACCACCCACGTTCTTCACTCCCTTTTTTCAAAAATTTGGAGAAAGAAATAGAATGCGCTTTGATGGTCTGACGCTAATTTTTCTGCTCTTATGAGGCCTGGGGCAGCAGACCTTGTATTTTAGTTTAAAGGTTATCAACTCCTTGACTGAGAAAATTTAGGGAAGTTTATTACCATTCTAGACTACTGTATCTAGTAATTTTGTTTCTTCCTTTTGCACATGGATGACAGCCTCATAGTGTCTCTATTTGTAATCTATAATATTTCATTTCCTCGTTAAAAATAGCACTTTCATGCATATATTTACGGAGCTTAATTAATGAAGTCAATTCCAATGTTTCCTTTTTCATCTGTGAACCAGAATCAGCTTTCCAATGCATGGGCAGCCAAGACTTATAGAAGGCCTTGCTTAAAAAAGTTGTCAATTATGATTTTCCTCCTGCTAAAAACCCGCAGCCTAATGCTTCTTATATCCTTTCATCAAGTTCAGTTTCATAAATCAGGTAATCTTGCACCTTCTTTCACAACCAAATATATGCCAATCCCAACACTTTAGACATACTTTCTACTTCAGAGTTTAGCTATCAAGCATTTATGACTCAAAATTCAGACAGGTGTCAAGACACTGGAAAGTTAAAAGTTTCACTTTTGATTTATTGTCTGCTGCAGTTCTTGTATCCAGCAACAAAATCTCCATCTCTCCTGGCATGATTCATACTTCTAAACAACTTAAGAGCATTTACATAATTAAATGCACCAAATCAAGTACTAGATAGGTCTTTCCTACTTAAGAATCCGTGAGGGGATTGGAGTACAGATAAGACAGAATAAAAGATAGTAACAGAAGCAACACAGGAGGAGAACATAATGATTCAGACTATGACAGCATAAAACATTCTGAGGGAGAAAAAAACAAGAGACAATTCTTCTCTGAGAAAAAATAAAAGATAAGAGATGTCTTATTCTTACAGTATTTGCATCACTAAATTCAAATGATTTATCAAGCACACTGTACAGACAACAGTTTGTTGCGAACGCCTCAATTACAAAATTCTGGAAACCAGGCACCTTCAATACATGAACAGAAAATCACGAGTAAGTCTCCACGTAAAGGACATAAGTAAAAACATAAATAGTCAGTGGAATAACCTTATCCTCGCCATTGGGCCTGTCACACCAATCTTTAATCAATCTAATAAATATCTGTACGCATGCCTAATTGCAGAAGAGACTCATGTAAGCTTCAGTTTATGACCATAGTTATACAATAAAGACCTTTAGAATTAAAAAAATGGAACTTACAACCACATACTTTTCTCACAAGAATGTCCTTATGATTACAAGAGGTGTTCAAGAGCAACTGCATCATGGGGTCCAAGTAGCCCCTGCTTTTAGGAGAAAGGAAAACTGAAGACAGATTGTGCGTAGTTATAACATGAAGAAACGTGTACAATGTCCTCTGAAGTTCTTGCAGTTCACGAATTTCCTATAAAAAATTGGAGTTAGTTCTCGTCTTGTTTAATGAACTTCGTTTATTTATTGCAAACACAGAAACAAAATAAAAGCTCCAATATCAACAATCCTGCCATGCATATTGTCTGGCATGTATGCTTGCAAGGAAATGCATGGAAGAGATACAGCCATGATAAAAATACATTTGAATCTCATGAAAAATTATTTTAATCTTTGTTTCTTACAAGACTAAGGTATGAAGGATTATGCTTGCCAAGTATGAAAAGAAAAACACAAGTATTCATGTAAAAGCATGCATCAGTATCCCATCCACAATTTTGTGTTCCATACCTCAGTATTAGTTCCAGGTCCAGTAGGTAATGCATCTCTTGGGATAATATTAAATATCCTACCAGCAATAGCAGGAAATACTTCCTCCAATATATCATGGACCGAGGTGTTGAACTTGCATATAAGCTGATTGAGCAATACAAGGAAACCAATCAATTCCTTTGGCTGCAACAAAATGGAATCAAAAGTCAGACATATAGACTATTAACCTTAGCTCTGAACTCATAATCATTCCAATGGAACCAAAAGAATTTTCATGATTATACAACACGATAAATTTTAAGACTTAAATATTTGGGAATTCTAGGTAATGAACAGTCTAACTTTTGAGGGAAAACTAAACAACTGACTGGATAAGTAAAGGGAATGATTAATATTTCCCTAATACTTTAACAAATTACAAATTGGATCAAAGGAAATAAAAAACTGATGATCTTTACAAACGAACAGATATTCGAGTGTATGCATGTGTATGCTTCCTGTACAGTATGCAGCTCAGAAATAAAGTTTCTCCTTCTAAAAGATACATGAAAATATATATTATAGTGCCCAGGATGCCCAATATATAACATAAAAGAACACCAAGGGGGTGTAACCATTTACAAAAGTAAGAGAAATGCAAGAAAATAAATTAAACAAGTGAGACAGTCGAAAATTATGATCTTCTCCAAATCTTCCCCAAGTCTGGAAGACAGTCACTTAAACAAAATATTTACAATAAAAATTAGGTACAATGCCCTCGAAGAGAGTACCAATATTTATCATCTGATGCTAGGTGAGATGAATGTGGTTTTGAAGCAAAATTAGATACAGCCGATATGCATAAATATGGATGCTGTATTCTTGCCGATTTAATCCCTATTACACTTACGCGGTCTGTGTGGAAAGTTAGGAATTGTAAAGCTTTTGAGAGTCTTAGTGACACTATTGGTTTTGACGTTTTGAAGAATAGATGGCTTAGTACCCTTGATTTTTTGCTAATGGGTCATCCTCCGGTTAATTTTCAGTCTTTCAGGAAGATTTTTGTTACGGAGGACTAAGCTGTAAATAACTTGTACATGTTTGTTTCTTTTTTCTCTGCACTTCTGGCGCTTATAGCAATACAATCTTACTACTTTTCATTCAAAAAAAATAATGTATAAATATGGACGCCCACAAGAGCTAGCAACAAACAAAAAAGATAAAGAGATAGAAGAACAACTTGAAAAGTAGGAAACCATCAATTTCAAATTTTGATTAGGCCTGTTGGATTGGGGGACAAGAGAAGGAACCATATGTTCCTCAAAACAAAGATTTTGACACTGCTCCCCTAAAGAGAGTGTTGAAAGAAATCAGTGCAGGACCATAAGCCAGCAATTGAGTCTAGACAGATTCAGCTCAAGGATCATGTTAACAGCAATTTCAGCATCTGTTGATTTCATTTTCCTATAGGATTTTGTGCTCCTAACCAGTTAAGTGTCCATGTTTTGCTTCTAGCAAGATGTACAGGGGTTTACTTTTTGTTTGAGGGGGGAAGATCCAAGATTGTGTTATTGATATTCTGACACTTTTTTTGATAAAGAGAGAAATATTATTCAAGGAAAGCGGAGAAAGAAATACAACAACAGAGGACAAGAAATCCTCCTGAAACAACAAAAGTTCAAAAGAATCAACACAACATCAATTCCTAGCTCCTTTGCAGTATATCTAAAGAGATATTCTAAGAAACTGTGGGCTTTCGCCCACAAAGAAACAAAGGAAAACCGTTTGGCACTTTAAAACTCACAGCTAAGTTTTCTCCAAATGGCGAAGACCTATAAGAAATGGATTTTATTTTGAATTTCTAAATATATTAGAAACTATATCCAATTAATGTACAAATTGCAGCAATAGTATGGATAAGACTAGATCTTTAGTAACTTTGGGATTTTATTTATGGTTTAAATTTTTTTAAGTTACAGGTTTCCTGTTGCAATTTCATAGTTATAGCTAGACTAGGCTTTCATATTTAAGCACCAAAACAACCTTGTTATTCTCTTCCGGATCAGCCTTGATTGAATAAGTATTTACGAGGATTCTCTCAATGTCTGGTTAAGTAGATAAAATCTAGTTATGATCCTTAAGAATCCCTTTTCTTTTTTTGGTACGCTAGTTCTTTGTACACACTGCCTCTTTTTATCTCAAAAAAATAAAATTGTCCTGCATCAGTTTTAGCTAGTGAAACCATATTGAACATGTTTTGGTAGACCAGTTAAAACATAGACATGTCAAGTTTTCTCTCTTGGTGGCAAGATCCTAAACATTGCTGTAAGCAAAAAGATTATCAACAGTAAGTGTTATGGTCGTCTATCATCCCGTGGCAAAATGGCCTGTGCAAGAACTGTAATATCTTAAGCCCAAGTACCACTACATCAAAAACTGCTGCCCAAATAGGGACAGGACATAGCATGCCACATGGTAATCTTATTCCAATAAAATCCCAAAGAACTATCATCATTATTAAAAGGAAAAAATCAGACATTATTTTGGTCAGCAATAATTATAACGTAGCAATACAAAGATAGCAAGTCATCTGCTTCAACAAAAACAAAAACCATAACCATAATAATCAGTTTGAAATGCAGTCTTCAATACCTCGCTTTCAGCAAGCAGTTGCTCCAATGCCTTTGGGAGGTAAGGAAATACAGACGCTCCTAAAGTATCCACCATACGGTGAATGAAAGATGTGATCTGCATGTCAACAAAGATCAGTTTTAGAAAAAATACAACTGACAATACCAAGCAAATGATCCCAACTGGTCCACCATCCCAATCATACCTTACTTCGCAAAAGCTCTACCTTTGGAAATTCAACAAGAATTCGTAGGAGCACATCTAGTGTCTGGATTCCAAAGACAGAAATTAGAAATTTATAAAGAGAAAACATTTTGAATCTAGCAATTCTAGAACAATACCTAATATCACATATTTGGGTAAGAGTAAAAAAGTGAAGAATAATTAATGAAAACTAAAGCTTGGAAGAAATATGTGACATTTGAAATATTATCCAAAAAGTGCCAATCAATAAGACCACAAATATTCGGATATTTTGTAACAAATAATATTAAACGTATTCCTAAAATGTGCACCTGTGGAATTTATGAGAAATTGAAACGTTCAGCAAAAGCATATTGAAACAGGAAAAGACAATATTATAAACATACATATATATATTCCAACCACAGACCTGCTTAAACATAAGACCAATTCCAGGACGGCTAGCAGTTACAAGTCTCTCACTGAAACCCTGGATCACAGATAAATAAAATGAGGAAAAAGTGCATATATATAAAGCCAAAAATCTAGACATTGACTTTTTTAAGATTTAGTGATGAAATATTTATCTTCAATTAAAATACTGACTTTTTAAGCAAAAACATATAAAAGGAAAAACAAAGGAAAACCTTGCTGAGGGCATTAATTGCCATAATTATTTGCTGAATATTTGCAATTTTCACACTGGCCTCCTCAGGATTCATTATGTTAGCATTTCGAAGTAACGCCTCAACCTGGACAGTAACAAAACTCCAGATAGGATAAATTCATAATGCACTAAATTGACCACAATATGAAGCATGCAAGCAGAGGAAATTAATGAAGCAACCTGTTGACAAAGAGGAGAAAGCAATGAAGAGAGATAAGCTG